GAAGACTCTTGAGTGTCCCTTGGACTGCAAAAGAGATCAAACCAGTCAATCCTAAATGAAATTAACCCTGAATATTCATTGGAAGGTTTGATGCTGAAGCTGAAGCTCCAATACTTTAGCCACCTGATGGGAAAAGTCTACTCATTGAAAAGACCCTGATGCTGGGAAAGATTGAAGGCAAAAGGAGAAGGGAAGCGACAGAGGATGAGATGGTTGAATGGCATCACTGACTCAATGGACATGAGTTTGAGCAAACTTTTCAAGACAGTGAAGGACAGAGAAGCCTGGCATGCTGCAGTCCATGGGAATCACAATGAGATGGACACAACTTAGCAATAGAACAACAATGACAAATGGGCACTTGCCATCTACCTCTATAAGGATTAAGTCATGTGCTACTGCAGCTGCTGACCTTCAACAACCCTTGAAGGGAGTTCAGGGTGGAGAGCAGAAATGAGGCACTCTGTCTTTGGGGGGAAAACTGGAAAGATAGATCTTCAGATAGGTATTTTCAGGAGTTGATTTTATGAGCCCAATTATTGTATCTCCTTAAATGTAGAAAAGCACTAAAATCCTTCATGACAATGACTGTTCCTCATGACTAGCAGAAAGCTTCATGAGACTAGTTGAAATTTTCTGGAAAATAATTTGATTGATTGAATGTGTCCCCCCTTCATCAAGATGACATATTTACTGACCTTGCCCCATGCCTCTTTGGAACAGTTTCTCAGAGCTATCTGAGTTACTGTCCTTTGGGCTGCAGTCCTCATTTTGCTCCAAATACAACTTAACCTGAAACTCTCATTTGCATTTTTAAAGTCAACAGAATATTTTAGAGAGAATCCCAAGAGTGGTTAGACAATCATTCTGTACACAGATTACATGTATATATAATAGATAACCAACTAGTTACCTACTGTATAGCATAGAGAACTATACTCAATATCTATACTTTTCAGATTCTCTTTCCTTATAGGTTAGAGAATCTGAAAAATGATCTCTCTCTCTCTCTGAAGATACATATACATATGAATGTATATATGAATCTCTTTGTTGTACATGTGAAACTAACACAATATTGTAAATCTACTGTGCTTCAATTAAAAAATGGTTAAAACATAAAGAGATTTCAGTATGACCTATGGATCTAGCCCACTGTCTCAGCAGAAGCTGGGAATATAAATGGGGTTGTATATTACCCAGCAATCCCACTGCTGGGCATACACACTGAGGAAACCAGAATTGAAAGAGACACATGTACCCCAATGTTCATCGCAGCACTGTTTATAATAGCCAGGACATGGAAGCAACTGGATGTCCACTGGCAGACGAATGGATAAGAAAGCTGTGGTACATATACACAATGGAATATTACCCAGCCATTAAAAAGAATACATTTGAATCAGTTCTAATGAAGTAGATGAAACTGGAGCCTATTACACAGAGTGAAGTAAGTCAGAAAGAAAAACACCAATACAGTATATTAATGCATATATATGGAACTTAGAAAGATGGTAACGATGACTCTATATGCGAGACAGCAAAAGAGACACAGATGTATAGAACAGTCTTTTGGACTCTGTGGGAGAAGGCAAAGGTGGGACGATTTGAGAGAATAGCATTGAAACATGTATATTATCATATGTGAAACAGATCACCAGTCCAGGTTTGATGCATAAGACAGGGTGCTCAGGGCCGGTGCCCTGGGATGACCCTGAGGGATGGGATGGGGAGGGAGGTGGGAGGGGGGTTCAGGTTGGGGAACACATGTACACCTATGGCTGATTCATGTCAATGTATGGCAAAAACCACTACAATATTGTAATTAGCCTCCAATTAAAATAAACACACACACACAAATAATTTACCAACAGGAAGTGCACCAAAATGTTAACAAGATTATGTCTGGATAGTAGGTTCAATGGTGACTTTATTTCTGCTTTCTATATTTTCCCATTTTCTATCATGCTTTTATTAAAAATTAAAAATTTTATTTTTAACTAAAGTAAATAATACACACACACACACACACACACACAAAATGGGGTTGTAACAGCAGGAACACCAATGTCTTCCACTAAAGGGGACAGAAATAGGATAAAATGAGGGAAGGCTATTGTGGATTCTTCAGGACGGGACAACAGAAGTATCTGACTTTGAACATGCATTATCCTTGAAGAAAAGGGGGAAATGACCTTAAGGTGGGACTGTCCTCTTAGTTTCAGAGAGCAGGGCCACTTACTAGGTTCCAGTGGGCCAAGCTGCCACCATCCGGGGCTGAGGAGGCAAACTTAACCTCTGCTGTGCCCCGTTGGTGGGCCCAGATGCCAGAGATGCAACCCCAGTGAGCCCAGAAAACATAGCACTGATGCAAAGAGAATTATTCTCAAGACTTAAGATCTACAAATTTTTCCTGCGGGATTTGAATTTGTTTGGGACCCATCCCTCCTTCCTTTTCCTCCTATATATCTATTTTGGAATGGCAATGTCTGTACTATGCCTGTCCCACTGTTGTATCTTGGAAGTAAATAATTTGTCAGGTTTCATAAGTTCACAGCTGAAGAGAAATTTTACCTCAGGATGAGTGACACCTCAAGTCTCACACACACTTGAAGCAGATGGAATCTAGATGAGATTTGGGACTTAAGAGCTGATGCTGGAATGGGTAAGACTTTGGGGCTATTGGGTTGTAGGTGAATGTATTTTGTGTGTGTCAACTGAAAAAAAATGCACAACCTAAAAGTTGAAAATGATGTTTTTTTGTGGACTTACTGAGGACTTAAGCCTGGGACTTACTGAGACTTAAGGCTCTCAGATACCTCTGAAGGACTGTTCCGAACAGATAAGGAAGGACGGAGGTACCAGGATATGTAGGAGTTTTTGCAAAATAAAATAAAAAAACTCCAAAGCCAAAAAGTAGGTAGTGTGACCATCAAAAAATTACTAATAATGAAAAACCAGACATCTCAAATTAATAAATTTAGCACTTTTCTCTGTACAGGAAGATGCAAGAGTCTAGGCTCACTGAAGTAACTCCTTTGCTATGTACCTTAACTATCTATAGCCAGTGTCCTCCTTTCCTCTATCCTGAATCTCTTCAGGGTGTGCAGTCTGGGGGTGCACAGTGGTTGACGGCCTGATGGACACATCATCCTTTGTTTCGTGCTTTGTCAGTCAATATTCTTTGTCCACATGTTTGAGAAGGACATGAATTCGGGAAGGACAGTGGTGGAATATTGTGGGCTGAATTGTGTCTTCTCCAACTCATATGTTGAAATCCTAAACATCAGTACCTCTGAGTGTGATTCTGTTTGGAGACAGGGCCTTTTAAAAGGTGAGAGAGGTAAAATAAGGCCATTGTGGACCTGAATCCAATCTGGGGGTGCCCTTACAAGAGGAAATTTGCACAGGGCCACCAGGGCCCTGTACACAGAAGGATCAGCGCGTGAAGAGGCAACTAGAGGGTGGCGACCTGCCAGACACGGAGAGAAGTCTCAAAGGAAATCAACCCGGTTGACACATTGATTTTGAACTTCTCTTTGGAACTATGAGTAAAATAAATTTCTGTTGCTTAAGTCATCTGGTCTGGTACTTTGTTATGGAAGCCTGAACAAACACCTAGTGCAAGGGAAACTGAAAAGTAAAATCCTCATTATTCTAAACCCTGGGGGCCTATTTTCATGGAAGAAGAGAATTGGTATTTTGGGGTAACTCAGAGGTGCATAACCCCTGGCTGTTGAAGACCTTTTCTTTTTTAAAGGGTCCCAAGTAATGCTTCAGACTGAAACACTAAACTAAAACATCAGTACTTAAGGGTTCAATTATGTTGCACCTACCTTCCTAACCCAGAGACAAAAGTCTGCAATTCTTTCAATTGTTCATTTAGTAATGCCTGGGGCTGGTGAACCACCAGGTGTGGTATTGTCTTTTACTATTCAGTACCCCCTGGTCTCTGCACTTTGCATCCTACTGGTGCAAGGGACTATCTCTCCCTGTAGACACCAAGCAGAGTTTTCTCGCCTTGCTCCCCACCTCCCCCGCGAACTGGCTCTCCAGCTCATGATCTGGTACAACTTACAAGCTCAATAAATACTTATTGAATAACTGTACAAATGAGATGCAATCTGAACCACGTTGTGAATATATATATATATATATATATAAACATATATATATATATATATAAATATTTATATATATGTATACACCCGGTAAGTACGTGGTACTGGAAGCTTCCCTTGTGGCTCAGCTGGTAAAGAATCCGTCTGCAACGGGGGAGACCCGGGTTCGATCCCTGCGTTGGGAAGATCCCCTGGAGAAGGGAAAGGCAACCCACTCCAGTATACAGGCCTGGAGAATTAAATGGACAGTACAGTCCACGGGGTCGCAAAGAGTTGGACACGACTGAACGACTTTCACTTTCTTTCTTTCCTTTCACGTGGTACTGGAAAGTCAGTTCCGCAGAGGCGAAGGACATTGCAAACTTACCAGCGGGACGGTGGGCTTCAATGTGGTCCAAATGTAGAGGGTGTGCAGGCAGGGACAGCGCAGGAGGACGTGGGCATGAAAGCACCACTTTTAAGTGAGAGATGAGGCATAGGGAGCCTTCCACTCTCGGTCTGCCTCCTCATCCTTTGGCCGTCCTTGCAGTCATACGTGATGAGGGTGTACCATCCCACGGTGAGCGCAGGGATGAGAGGGAAGAAGAACCTGCAGGCATACAATAGGTTTCTGAGCCTCCTTGGAACAAGCCTCACACCGCGGAGACTCTGCTTCTTTTATAAACCTTACCGGGTCTGTTCAGGGGTGACACGACTGTGTCTTCGGGGGGAGCAAACGATTGGCAGCTTCCCTCCCACTCGCCCTGCCGCGCGACTCGTCTCCTGGCTCCTGGCGCGTGCACTCTGGAGGGGAGGACCCTTGACACTCCTTAGCTGAGCCGGGGGCGCGCGAGCCCGGGCGCGCGAGCCGGGGGCGGAGCGCGGCGACGGCGGAGCGGCTTATCTCGGGTCCCCGCTCGCCCGCTCGTGCCTCTGGGTCCCCAGGCTGGGATCCCGCCCGCCAGCCCGCTGGCCGCCTTGCAGGGGACGTGCTGCTGACCCGCGCCTGCGACCAGGAGGACGTGCAGCCATGGACCGCCTGGCCTGGAGAGTGGCGGCACTGCTGCTCGGGCTGCTAGTGGAGGTAGGGCCGGGCCGGGCGGGGTAAGCGGGAGCAGCACCGAGCGTCCGCAGGAGCCCTGGGGGCCGAGGGCCGAGAGGCAGAGGCTCACCGGTGCGGAAGGCTCTGGGCCCTGGTGACAGGGTCGCCCGAGCCCTTCCCGCTCTTCTGATGGCCCTCAGTGCCCCCGCCCCGCGTTTATCGATTCTCGCGAGTAGAGAGGACTCAGGGGCACCCTCTGCGCGCTCTGCGCCGGTTCCCACCCCCGGGGCCTCGGCTCTGGTCTGCGCGAGGGTCTCGGCTGCGGCGCAGGCGGAGATTCCAGGCGCCCAGTGGCCTGGGGCTCGGGGCTGGGGCGCCGCCGGGTCCAGGTGCGACCGCGCGGGTGCGTGGTTGTGGGAAGCGTCACGGGAGCACGAGTGAAATGGCGGGACAGTGAAGTCCTCGCTCGTGAAAATGGAGCGCGGAGTCTTCAGACGCGAGAGAAAACCTCGGAAGAGATGGGTGGTGGGTGTGGCCTTTTGGCGCCGAGACCCGGGACTTGTTGAAGCGACTGCGGAGGAAGCGCCGGTAAACCGCAACCTCGTGGAGACCTCGACTGCCCACGGCTGGAAAGGGGCGCCCTCGGATGGGGTCACCTCCTTCTTGATAAAACGGAGTCTTTAAAATGTGAGCTGGGGGTAGGTGCTGGGGTGCAGTGTGGATTAGGGCTTGTTCCATTCTTTGCTCGGCTTCACTATTTTAAAGGAAATTTTATTAATGAAGTCTAAGTAAATGGATGATGATTACGTTTTCTCTTTTAGGTAGTACATCTCTGGAAATGACTCCTTGGTTTTCTTCATTTGTAAAGAAATACAAGTTACAAAATGTTGGGAGGGAGAGCCTTAGCTCTCCTGAAAGAAAGGTTGATGGAAAAGTTTCTTGTGCCAGGCGCCACCGTAGCAAGACTTCCTGTTTTTGTTCCTGTGTCCCCCTGGCTAAGTGGTTAAAATTTTTGTGGAGTGCTCTCCACTCCCTTCACTTGGATTGTCTACGGTTATTCGAAATTTTATGACCTTAGGAATAACATCCTTTCCGTGATCACCAGAGAGATAATGGAGAAGTGAATCTGACACCACTGTTCACATAAAAAGGCATGCATCTGTACTTACACGTGCAATCCCCACCCCGCCCCCCCCCCCACACACTTAAAAAATCAGCACTTGGTGAAATAATTTACACTAAAATTTAAATAACTGAATTGATGCTTTCACAAAGTCAAATATCTAGATGGTTGGTAATTTTTGTTTTCATGGGATGATGCAGTGTAGCCCATTTTTACATGATTGTCCCAAGCATCTATTTTGTTTGTGGTAGGGGGGTGTCTCTCTGAGGCATTAAGGCGATTTCTTTCTCATTTATCATGTGGAATCTTAACGCATGAGTTATGTGTCTGAGATGTTTTCATTTTTAGTGTGTTGCTCTGAATTTCATTTAATATTCGTTATTAGTACATTTTTGATGCTTTTGAAGTCTTCACATACTTAAATGTGCAATTTCTGTTGCTGAGATGTGGAAGCAAAGAGCTGTTTTCAATTTGAAGGTATAAGACAATTAAGAGAGATGTTGGGAGGCCTGACAGCCAGCTGCAACCTGGGATTCTCGTCTTTGTTTCTTTGTTCTGCTTGCGCTGGTTTCATTGCGGTGGTAGTGTAGTTGACCATAAACCACCTGGCAGCCTTTATGCCCTCTGGGATCCTCTTCCAAGCCAGTCACTCTCGGTTGCTTAGGGCAAGAGTGGGGGAAGTGTGCTTGGCAGAAGTCCTTGAGCTGGGAGAGTATCTAAAAGCTGTTTAAGAAGGGCTTTCCTCCAGCTGCTTCACATCCTTATATAGAAATTCATTTACCTGTTAGAGAGCTAGACTGCCTGTTTGTTTTTTAATTCGCAAACATAGAGTGCCTACCCTGTGTCAGGGATTGTTGTAAGCACTTGACAAATATTAGCTCATTAATCATCTTAGCAATTACTTTAATTCCCTTTTTTGTTTCAAATGGGAGATGGTAAAGAGCTTGTCCACAGTCTCACTGCTGTAACATGTGAGGACTTGAGAGGTCAGCACTAGGAGTGGCCCGACCACCTGGTGCTGTCTTGCTGCCTCTCCCACTGCTGGACACAGAGACATGGAGAGAATTTGTACAGGTCTGTCCTGAGGCCAGTGGTGGACTTGGAGAAGTATTGTCTCATGAAATGGGTAAGCCAACAAAATACCCATTAGGAACTCAGTTAACATTTCCTTAGGGGCCCATATAATTTAACATCCAAGCTCTGACCCTGGAGAGTGAAGTTGGGGACTGTTAGCAGTCACGTCCACACAGTTAGGCAGCAGCAGGACTGTCCTGGAAGCCCCAGTATGTGCTCACCCAAAAGCCTAGGCACGGCTATTAGTAGAAATAGGCTGGGGGTGGCATTATCCCTTCCCCGAGGAGGCTTCAGGAAGCTCATTACTGAAGTGACCTTTTCTTTCCTTCAACTTGGACTTGCCTGTGAACTGCATGGGAAGCCAGTCCTCGAGGACCCTTGTTACATCTTTTCTCCTCCCCAGTCACTCTATGCCAGTCTTGGAGATCCCAGGCACATAGGCCATGGGGGAGACCACAGAATAGGGAAATCCCAAAGCTCTTTGCAGGTCATGAAATTCTAAAGTTCTGTGTTTTTCTTCTGTTCTTTGGTTTCTGGGAGGCCCTGCTAACAATGCCTGCAGGAAGAGTGATGGTGTGAGCTGTCTCCTAGTAACTCTGGTGAATTAATTCCCGGTGGCCTTCATTGGGCTGCAGCAGCACCTTAGATACTGAAAAAGAAAAGCAGTTTCTAAACTAATTATGCCTTAGTAGAACCTGGGGAGTCATTAGGTGCTGAGCATGTGTGCATATGGGCTTTTGTCAGAATGTGTGGTTTTCTGGATATCTTCACTCCAACCTCTTTGTAGAGGTCAGGTTGTTGACACTTTGTTATATACTGAGTAGTATTTGTTCTGGGTTCTGTCCTTGCTGAAATGAGCCCAGAAATGTGTAGTATATTATTTAGTATAAAATCACCCCCTTACCAGGGCTGGGGGCTCTGTGAGCATCCATTCTCAAGGGAAAAGACTCTGTACTACGTTATTTTATTCAAGAGACTGGTGTCAGTATCTTTCTGATCCTTCCCTGGACCAAAAGCTGGAAACCTTTAAGTGAGGCCACCAGGTGTTTCAAAGTTATTCTGGCCAAAGAACATCCCTTCTTGGGCTGGAAAAAGGATTGGTCTTCTTTAGAGACAGTTGGAAAGGGACCGTTGCCTCTTGAAACTAGGGAAACTAACAGGATTACTGAGTATTTTTCCAAGACCATTGTATTTTGACACCCAGGAGTCTTGAAATTAGAACCAACTCATGTTTAAGAGTGTTTTTTCTCTCATGCCATCTGTTTTTTGTACCCTGGAATTGCAGTGAATGTGGCAGCGCTGGATGCCAATTTTCTGAAATAAACCAGTGCAGTTCTCCCTAAGCGACATGCAGTTTGAATGAAAGAGAAGACTGGAGGGAGTTTGTTATCTCTGGAAGCTCCCTGGAGGCTGGGTGATGAGGATGAGAGGTGGCAGTGGTAAATGAACCTGATGGGAAGGATTCTACTCGGAACTGTGGGAACTGGCTCCTGGTATATGAAGAGGACCTGGGGCTCTGGGCCCAGACTCTGGGGCCCGAATTAACCTTGCATTCTTTGACTTGTGCAAACCTATGGAGACCAGCTGGACAGCAGTGACTGTAGACGTACATAGATTAGGCTAGTGGCCGCTGGATTATTTAGCCATGGGCTGGCAAGTGAATTTCTTAGAACCTACATTTATCCTCTTGATGAGGCCTACCTTGACCACTCTAAATTCCAACCTAAATCTCTTCCCAGCACACTGTCTCTAACCGAACCAATTCCCTCTTTCTCTGTATTTATTCACTTCAAAATATGATGGCATTTACTTCCCATAGTCTACATATTATAAAGTCGAAGGTTTTGATTCACTTGTGTTAACTGAAATATCCCAAACTCCTAGAACAGTGCCTGGCATAGAGTAGGGATTCCATAAATATTTGAACAAGTGAAAAGAACCATGGGTAATGACCATGGGAAGAGGGAGCTGAATAGTCTTCAGTAGGAGAGGGGAAGGTAATGTATCAGCTATGACTCTGAAGGGTCTTTGTGTGCTAATCACACAAAGAGCTAATCATTACGTGAACACCTGTAGAGATGGAAACTCATCATCTCTAAAGCAGTGTATCAGTATTTTGGATAATTTTAGTTGTTAAAGTTTTCTGTTGAGTAGAGATGTCTGCATTGTTTCCACCTGGTCCTAGTTCTGTATCCTTGTGCTTTTCAGAAGAAATGTGATCACAATGACAGCCCTTCAATTGAACACAGCTGTGTTGGTCTCCATGCTTTCTTCTCTAGGTTTCATTTCCTTCTGTGATTTCTCACAAGACATGGTTTTGAATCATCTCTTCATCCTCACAGCTGCCCTTTGAAAACTGCCAAGCTGGATGGACAGTGGTTAGGAAATTATCACTGAAAAACTGGTCCTAGAAAAAGACCTTGGAGTACAAAGTGAAGTTTGGCCTTGGAGTACACAATGAAAAGGGCAAAGGCTAACAGAGCTTTGCCAAGAGAACGCACTGGTCATAGCAAACACGCTCTTCCAACAACACAAGAGAAGATTCTACACATGGACATCACCAGATGGTCAGTACTGAAATCATATTCATTATATTCTTTGCAGCCAAAGATGAAGGAGCTCCATATAGTCAGCAAAAACAAGACCAGGAGCTGCCTGTGGCTCAGATCATGAACTCCTTATTGTAAAACTGAAGAAAGTAGGGGAAACCACTAAACCATTCAAGTATGACCTAAATCAAATCCCTTATGCTTATACAGTGGAAGTGACAAATAGATTCAAGGGATTAGATCTGATAGACAGAGTGCCTGAAGAACTATGGATGGAGGTTCATAACATTGTATGGAAGGTGGTGATCAAAACCATCCCCAAGAAGAAGAAATGCAAAAAGGCAAAATGGTTGTCTGAGGAGGCCTTACAAATAGCTGAGAAAAGAAGAAAAGCGAAAAGCAAAGGAGAAAAGAAAAGCTATATCCATCTGAATGCAAAGTTCCAAAGAATAGCAAGGAGAGATAAGAAAGGCTTCCTCAGTGATCAGTGCAAAGAAATAGAGGAAAACAACACAATGGGAAAGACTAGAGATCTTTTCAAGAAAATTAGAGATAGCAAGGGAATATTTCATGAAAAGACGGGCAGAATAAAGGACAGGAACAGTATGGACCCAACAGATGCAGAAGATATTAAGAAGAGGTGGCAAGAATACACAGAAGAACTATACAAAAAAGATCTTAATGACCCAGAGAACCATGATGGTGTGATCACTTACCTAGAGCCAGACATTCTGGAGTGTGAAGTCAAGTGGGTCTTAGGAAACATCAATACGAACAAAGCTAGAGGAGGTGAAGGAATTCTAGCTGAGCTATTTCAGATCCTAA